AACATGGCTAAATACAGTTTCTCTTAGCGATAGTCTCTTATCGGAGACTAATTTAAAACACTCTAATTCAAGTGTTCTTCAAGTATGACAAATTAGTGGATAGAAGCTAATTTGTTAAGACATATAGCAAATATGTTTGCCTTACAATACAGTCTCCCATAAAAAAACTGCCTAGAACATGGCTAAATACAGTTTCTCTTAGCGATAGTCTCTTATCGGAGACTAATTTAAAACACTCTAATTCAAGTGTTCTTCAAGTATGACAAATTAGTGGATAGAAGCTAATTTGTTAAGACATATAGCAAATATTTTTGCCTTACAATACAGTCTCCCATAAAAAAAACTGCCTAGAACATGGCTAAATACAGTTTCTCTAAGGGATAGTCTCTTATCGGATACTATAATTTAAAACACTCCTAATTCAAGTGTTATTCAAGTGTGACAAATTAGTGGATAGAAATTGATATGTTAAGACAGATAGCAAAATAGTATTGACCTTTCAGTACAATCTTCCATAAAAGACTGCCTAAGACATGGCTAAAAATAAACAGTCTCTCCTGGGGAGGGTGTCTTATCATAGATTCTGTTTAATTTAAAACACTCCACTAATTCAAGTGTGCCTTCAAGTGTGACAAATTAGTGAATAGAAGCTAATTTGTTAAAACAGATAGCAAAGACTGCTTAAAACATAGCCAAATACAGTCTCTCCTGGAGGGAGTGTCTTATCATAGATTCTGTTTAATTTAAAACACTCCACTAATTCAAGTGTGCCTTCAAGTGTGACAAATTAGTGAATAGAAGCTAATTTGTTAAAACAGATAGCAAAGACTGCTTAAAACATAGCCAAATACAGTCTCTCCTGGAGGGAGTGTCTTATCATAGATTCTGTTTAATTTAAAACACTCCACTAATTCAAGTGTGCCTTCAAGTGTGACAAATTAGTGAATAGGAGCTAATTTGTTAAAACAGATAGCAAAGACTGCTTAAGACATGGCTAAATACAGTCTCTCCTGGGGAGGGTGTCTTATCATAGATTCTGTTTAATTTAAAACACTCCACTAATTTAAGTGTGCCTTCAAGTGTGACAAATTAGTGAATAGGAGCTAATTTGTTAAAACAGATAGCAAAGACTGCTTAAAACATAGCCAAATACAGTCTCCCCTGGAGGGGTGTCTTATCATAGATTCTGTTTAATTTAAAACACTCCACTAATTCAAGTGTGCCTTCAAGTGTGACAAATTAGTGAATAGGAGCTAATTTGTTAAAACAGATAGCAAAGACTGCTTAAAACATAGCCAAATACAGTCTCTCCTGGAGGGAGTGTCTTATCATAGATTCTGTTTAATTTAAAACACTCCACTAATTCAAGTGTGCCTTCAAGTGTGGCAAATTAGTGAATAGGAGCTAGTTTGTTAAAACAGATAGCAAAGACTGCTTAAAACATGGCTAAATACAGTCTCCCCTGGGGAGGGTGTCTTATCATAGATTCTGTTTAATTTAAAACACTCCACTAATTCAAGTGTGCCTTCAAGTGTGACAAATTAGTGAATGGAATCTGATTTATAAAAAAGAGAAAGACAATTGACAATGGACACAATTTTATTGACATCTTGACAATACAAGGTCAAAGTGTACAATCCGCACTATTTAAGGAGTGTCTTATAATCACTAATTTACAATGATAATAATGATTATTACAACAACAATAAAAAACTTTATAAAGACCTTTTAGTCTTATACAGATTCTCCGAATATACAGTGCGGCAAATAATTTTTAAGACTCGCGCTAGATAAAGGCCAATAGCAGAGCCAGTTATGAAATTGCGCATGCGTATATATATTCGAAGCCTTATCTAGCGCGTGGCTTTGTTTCAGCCATTTTGGTTAACTCTTTAAAAACATACAGGCGATTTTTGAAAAGTAAAATTTTTTGTTCGTCGGAATTCTGAGATGGAACAGAGAGCGGTCATTAAATTTAATGCAAAACTTGGTAGAAGTGAATCGGAAACATATATTTTGATGAAGCAAGTTTATGGTACGTTATGTTTGAGTAAATCAAATGTTTTCATTTGGCACAAACGTTTTTCGGATGGAAGAAATACGCTAGAAGATGATAAGCATACTGGACGACCAAGTTCTTCAAAGACACCAGAAAGTATAGAAAAAGTGCGAGAATTTGTTGAAAACAATGATGGCAGAGGTTTTACACATCAACAAAGAAACGATTCGAACCATTCTGCATGAAGATTTAGGTAAAACTAAAGTCTGTACTAAATTTGTTCCACACACTTTAACGGGCGAGCAGAAATCAGTGTGAATTGCACATTGCAGGGACATCATTTCTGCCTATGAAAATAATTCAAACTTCCTGAAATCAATTGTTACGGGTGATGAAACATGGTGTTTTCAGTATGACCCAAAGACAAAGCGCCAAAGTGCCGAATAGAAGTCAAAAAACTCTCCACAAGCCAAAAAAACGCGAAAAGTGCCATCAAAAATCAAAACAATGCTGATTACCATTTTCGATAGTAGAGGTATTATCCACAAAGAATTTGTTCCCGCTGGACAAACCATTACTGGAGAGTATTATTTAAACTTTTTGAAACGTTTGATTGCCAGAATTCGTCGCATTCGTCCAGAATATCGCGATGAAGACAGTTGGTGTTTGCTGCATGATAATGCACCGAGTCACTCCTCACTCATTGTTCGTCGCTTTTTGGCCAAAAAAACGTCTGTGTGTTGAATCATCCTCCGTACTCGCTTTATTTAGCACCATGTGACTTTTATTTATTTCCAAAAATAAAATTGAAGTTAAAAGGTTGTTTTTTTTATGATATCCCGACCATCCAGAGAGCTGCGACGAGCACTTTGGAGGCGATTCCTCAAAGTGGCCTGCAAGAGGCATTTAATTCCTTATTAAATAGTTGTAACATATGTATTGAATCCAGAGGGGATTATTTTGAATAAAAAAATAGTAGAAATTGAGTTAGCTTGTTTATGTTTTATTTTACAAACCCATTCTTAAAAATTATTTGCCACACTGTATATATAGAAATGTAGGGTACCTGCAGGAAAAACAGTAATTAAATAAAATTACAAATATATTCTCACAATGAGTATATTTCTATTTAAAAAAACGCTAGCTTTCAAGCGTTAATCGCTCTTCAACGGGCTTACTATAATATCGACTTGATCCCACCAGAAATATTTACAAAAACAAACGCGCGCAGCGTGGATATTTTCAGTTATAAAAATTTTCAGTTATAAATATCCACGCTGAGCGCGTTTGTTTTTGTAAATATTTCTGGTGGGATAAAGTCGATATTATAGTAAGCCCGTTGAAGAGCGATTAACGCTTGAAAGCTAGCGTTTTTTAAATAAAAAAGATACTCATTGTGAGAATATATTAAATTTTATTGCCATCTATCGTTAAATTTTTACACAAATAAATTTACTGGCAATGCGTTTCTTCTAAATATCATCAAATATTATTTATGATAATTTGGCGAAACCGCTGAGAGGGTTCACTACTGATGAGCCAAGCCCTCTCATTCAATAACTTATATCATTGCAGTAAGGTCTGTAGAGATAATATTTGATGATATTTAAAAGAAACGCATTGCCAGTAAATTTATTTGTGTAAAAATTGTGAGAATATATTTGTAATTTTAATACTTTTTTCACAATTTTATCATGAATAAAAACAGTAATAATAAAAGTAATATAATCAATGTTATTATTTCTAAAATAACTTTATTAGATGCCACTCAAAAAGAGCACCCTAGAGATCTTTTTTTTTTAAGATAATCACCTTTAATATATAGAGGAAAACTTAATTAAGACAATCAAGCTAATAAATATATTAGTCTGGGTAAATTGGAGTAAAATAAAATAATAATAATTATAATATATTTAAAAATAAGTATATGTATCTATCCAATACCACAGGTTTGCGGATTTCGAAAAATTACAGCAAAAAAAAAGCCTAAGATGCTGAAATTCATTTTATTTACTTGATTGAAGATGATTTTTCATGTTTATACGCTTTATTTAGCAGAAGAAGAACTTTCTCGAAAGCTTCTTTAATCAAGTAAGTAAAAAAAAGTTGCGGTGTCTTATGCTTTTTTCAAAATATATTGTTATGTTGGACCCAGACGCTATTCGTGTACTTTGTCTACTCAGGATGCCACAAAGATACACAGTGAGTTCGAAGGGATTGCAGCTAAAGTTAGCGCTTTATTATATCTCACTAACAGAAGGAATACAACAGTGGGACTTGCCTTCAACTCCCCGTCAGAAGTATCCTTGGCGCCATGGATGTCCTCTTGTGGAACCTCCCGTTCCACACTATTAAAGTCCAGCCTGGACTTACACCGGCTTGTAGGCCGCTCCGATGTCAGGCTCTCCTGGCACCGCTTTACAGGACCATCCACACGCCCCGGAGGCGTTTTCTCCTTGCCGCAGATTTAACCAGACTCTGTCCTCCCCCACACAGGAATGCTGTTTTTAGCGCCTGCCACATGGTAACGGGGGCCGCTAGAGTCCACCCACTTTTCCCAACTTTACTCTGGTATCTTGGCCTTGTCATCCACGTTACAATATCTTTATACAATCAATAAATATGTACATGGCGCCTCTGTCACCGCTGCAGAATTTGATGGAAGATCGCCAGCGGGTCTCCAAAGAAAGAGTTTATTTTTTCATGGGGGGTCTCGGTGGAAGGGTGGTCTAAACCGTTGGTTTTCGACCGCTACGAACCGGGAACGAATCCAACATTTAATACTATTTTAATTATTCTTTGATTTTTCTTTATAGTTAGGCAGTCGGCAACACTGTACTTTCTTTCTTTCGCTAATTTTGCATAAGTTTTGTTTATATATTATGGTTAACTTTGTTGTAATTGAATATTAAAATACAATGTGACTATTGCTTATTTCTAAATAGGAAACGTTACATACCTATTCAATAGTATTATATGCTTTGTAAATATCTATGATAGAGCCTCGTTAGCGCAGTAGGTAGCGAGTCAGTCTCATAATCTGAAGGTTCGATCCTCACACGGGGCTTTTTTTTTTTTTTAGTATAAGACCAAAAGTCTTAATAAATCTTTTTGTTTTTGTAAAAAAAAATAGCTGTGATATAATGATTATTGTGGGATGATTATTTCTAGAATACGTATCTCTAATGTGATAACTATTTTATATACACTCATGGACAAAACTTAAGGAAGTTGTACCTTTTAGCATTTATATATCGGGATTCAGACAATAACTCTGAAAGATATTACAGTGACCTTTATTGAAGACACACATATATACACTCATGGCCTAACTTAAGGAAGTTGTACCTTTTAGCATTTATATATCGGGATTCAGACAATAACTCTGAAAGATATTACAGGGACCTTTATTGAAGACACACATATATACACTCATGGACAAAACTTAAGGAAGATGTACCTTTTAGTAGGTATATCTGAATTCGGACAATAACTCTGAAAGATATTACAGTGACCTTTATTGAAGACACACATATATACACTCATGGACAAAACTTAAGGAAGATGTACCTTTTAGTAGGTATATCTGAATTCGGACAATAACTCTGAAAGATATTACAGTGACCTTTATTGAAGACACACATATATACACTCATGGACAAAACTTAAGGAAGTTGTACCTTTTAGTAGGTATATCTGAATTCGGACAATAACTCTGAAAGATATTACAGTGACCTTTATTAAAGAGACAAGAGATGTGAACCACTTGTCTCCGTCTTCTTCTTCTTAAAAGAAAAAACAGATAACCGGCGACATCAACGACTTTCAATTTCTTAAGTTTTGTCTATGCTGTATCATCTTTTGGGAATTAATTATGGTATAAAAAGAATTATAGTCTTTGTTTCTTTTGAGCACGCGGTGTACAAACTACAGTTAAACCTGTCTATAGCGCCCCCTCTTGGGACTCACCAAAATAGGGTGCTATAGAGAGGGGGTGCTATAGACAGGTCACTTTTAATGTAAATCGCATCGTACTACGTATTTAAAATCGGGCACTATAGAGAGGAAGACGCTATTTAGAGGGGGCGCTATAGACAGGTCACTTTTAATGTAAATCGCCTCGTACTACGTATTTAAAATCAGGCGCTATAGAGAGGAAGACGCTATTTAGAGGGGGCGCTATAGACAGGTCACTTTTAATGTAAATCGCCTCGTACTACGTATTTAAAATCAGGCGCTATAGAGAGGAAGGCGCTATAGACAGGTTTAACTGTAATTGTTTATGCCATCGAAGAAAATTGGTAATGTTCTGGAGTTGGAAAGTTGTTAGAGAAATGCCTATAGGTAAGGTTAGCGATCAGGTATCGAAACCTGTTCTGTTTATTTTTAACTTATAGGATATCAACAAGCGTTGCGTTACAGGTGGAAACTATGTTGTAAACGGTAGGTAACGAATTTGTAAACATTTTATAGGTTTAGTAAACCGATAAAGATTAAACAAATCTTCGAAATATATTTTTAATATATTTTTTTCTCCGTGAAAAAGGCGATGAAATACTAAAAAGATATATTTTAATCAATTTTAGCGTAAATATTTTGCGATAAAATTAAAAATATACTCAGACTTAGACAAAACTTAAAGAAATGGAAAGTATTTTGTTTTCACCGGTCGTCTATTTATTTATTTTATTTTTTGAAGGAGACAGAGGCAATTTTGTTCACACTTGGTTATCTCGTATGTCTTCAATAAAGGTCACTGTAATATCTTTAAGAGTTATTGTCTCAATCCCGATATACATGCTGAAAGGTACAACTTCCTTAAGTGTTGTTCATGAGTGTATATATGTGTGTCTTCAATAAAGGTCACTGTAATATCTTTCAGAGTTATTGTCTGAATCCCGATATACATGCTGAAAGGTACAACTTCCTTAAGTTTTGTCCATGAGTGTATATACATAAAATATAACTTACCTTAAAACTACGTGTTTTGTTGGTAAAATATATCGCTTTCCACAGTATTTATATTTTATTCATATGTAAATATATTTTAGTTTATTCGCATAAAAGAGGCAAATATTTAGATTTATAATACAATATAATGCGGCTTATGATTGTAAAACGACATTTGACAAGTTTTACCGCAAATGTGTCTTTTGGACGAAAAATCGTAATTTATTTTAAGGAGAAATAACGGCTATTTCTATCCTTAGGGATGAAGTATGAAAGGATGAATTGTGAAGAGTAATGATAAACGGAATCCCTGGACACTTTTATTTTTCCGTTCATCATTGCTCTTCACAATTCATCCTTTATACTTCATCCCTAAGGATACAAATAGTCTTTATTTCTCCTTAAAATAAATTACGATTTTTTCGTACAAAAGAAATATTTGCGGTAAAACTTGTCAAACGTCGTTTTACAAATATTTACATTGTCTGATGACTCTGCAAAATATGGAGGCGAAAAAAATTAATGGTGCTTTATTCTTTATCTTTGAAACTGTTGTATTCACATTAATCTCTTAATGATTAGGATCTAAGCTTCTTACATCTTCAGAAATTTGTCAGCTTGAAGGCTTGCTATTCCTTTTGGGACATTCCTCTATTGACCTTGGGCCACCCTCTTCAAGGTCATTGACACTTCAATTTGGGGGCTTAAGAGAAGTAATTGTAACCTTTAGCTGTCATTTTCGAAGGTCATTCACTTGCTTGATCTTGATGGCAACGTGTGAGATAAGGAAATAATTAGTAAAAAAAAAATGTTGGAAATCTTTATCATTATAGGATACTAGACGGGTGACCCGGGCTTCGCCGGGATTGACCCGTGTGCATATCTACCCGAGTGATATATATTTAGATAAGATTTTTTTTTATAATTGTTCGTTATTAGCATTATCTATTTGTTTGCATCAGCATAATTTAATCTAATATTTGATAGAGGGCGCTGTTCGTGAGCTAAGTAGAATAATTTGAATATATAGTTTTAATAATTGATATATATTTTTTAAAAAATAGCCTATCGTCTTCCCCGTATTTTTTTACCTATGTATGGAAATTTTGGTTTGAATTAGTGAAATACTGCGAATTTGTATACTGGACATACAAACAAACAAACATACAAACAAACAAACAAACATTGATTTTTATATATATAGAAGATGTGACACAATGTTTTTTTACCCTCATAATGAATCCATATGCTGATTTGTTCTTTTTTATTATTATTAAGAAGAAAAATATACAGTAAATATGTAAATATTGCATGAGATAAAAGAAATTATCAAAATTCGAAACTATTATAGATGCGTATGATTCTTTTTAAAAATAAACAATTTCTACTGTCCCTACTGCAAAAAGAATCATACACGTCTATAATAGTTTCGAATTTTGATAACAGATGGCGCGCTAATGTATCATAATATAAAAGAAATTATGTAAATAGGAAAGGATAGATATAAGGTGTTGGTGTGTACTGAAGAGAGTTGAATTTGTGAAAATAAAATATTTTATGTTGTCTGAAAGGTTGAAAATACGACTGATGGAGAGATTTGTATAAAGAAATTACATAAATAAGCTAACCAATGATTTATTTTATTCTCAACCTTTCAGGGAATCGTTTTCATTCTCCTCAGGAGAGTCAGGAGAAGTCCTGAGAACAGAAAGTCACTAAAACGTTGGAAGTTAAATAAATTATTGTTTGATGAAGCTATATTTATTCCAAACCAACAAATGACCTTCAAAAATAATATAAGGTAGTCTTGTTGCCTTTTATTTTTTATTTTATTTCAATTTACAGGTGTTACATTCGAGCACAGCTCGCGAGTCACCTTGTCCTGGCTATTTACACATGGCGTGGAGTAGAGGTGGCCCCCCCGGACCATTAAACGTCAAAGCTAGATGCCATTGTCGTCACAAACTAGTGGCTTCTTGTCAGTGACACCAGCATTGGCAAACTGAGAATCGAGTTTCAGTACTTTTGTCTGATGATGGTAACAACGCTGTTACCATCTTCAGACAAAAGTACTGAATGAGAAATTTTATTTATTTTTTTATTTCGTCTTAATTTACAGGTGTTACATTCGAGTCACCTTGTCCTGGCTATTTACACATGGCGAGGAGTAGAGGTGGTCCCCCCGGACCTTGCAGCTGTTGGGCGATGAGCTCTTAACTAAGTGTCAGGGCCGGGTCGTCGGAATCGGGGATTGATATCTCTTTTATTTTGTAGGATATCTTGAATGGTCGAATTATATATATATATTTGTATTTTGCATTTGAAGGTATAATTTCTTAACGAGAGAAAGTTTGGTACATATCTTCTAGATCGGGTTGGTTCAAGTCCTCCTTCAGTATCTTGTTTGATAGGCCCTTATAATTCTACTCTATAATCTAATTTGTACCTTTTTTATCGTCTTACGGTAGTGAAATAAATGGTTTGTGTTTGTCAATTTTTGACCATTACTATATCTAAGGTAAAAATATGTTAATATTATTTTACATGTTTAGTAGATTCTTACATGAAAATATTCCAAAATATTCTTATTATTCCTAGTACATATACAGATCATGATAATCATGGTGTGTAATTAATGACTGTTTATACTGTAAGTTCATCACATGTCTATACCCATAAATACATGTGGTACAGGTCATGATAATCGTGGTGTGTAATTAATGACTGTTTATACTGTAAGTTCATCACATGTCTATACCCATAAATACATGTGGTACAGGTCATGATAATCGTGGTGTGTAATTAATGACTGTTTATACTGTAAGTTCATCACATGTCTATACCCATAAATACATGTGGTACAGATCATGATAATCATGGTGGGTAGTTAATGACTGTTTATACTGTAAGTTCATCACATGTCTATACCCATAAATACATGTGGTACAGGTCATAATAATCATGGTGGGTAATTAATGACTGTTTATACTGTAAGTTCATCACATGTCTATACCCATAAATACATGTGGTACATGTCATTATAATCATGGTGTGTAATTAATGACTGTTTATACTGTAAGTTCATCATATGTCTATACCCATAAATACATGTGGTAC